CACTAGACCAGGTTGCTCAAGGCCCTGTCCAACCTGGCCTTGAACACTGCTAGACACAGGGCAACCACAGCTTCTCTGGGCAACCTGTGACAGTGCCTCATCACCCTCACAGTGAAGGACTATCTACAACATGCTTGACAAAGCTAGGACAGGATGTGCTTGAAATCCCTAGGCCCTTGCTAGCTTTCTCTGGCCCTTGCTAACTGAGCCTGGATCAGCAGAACAATTTTTAGGTCCTGCAGCAAGCCTAGAGCACATGAAAGGGCCCAGAGCGAAGTGAATCTGGGCACTGCTCTGGTTCCTTTTGCCAAATGCCACCCTGCCATTAAATATCTTTTCCCTGAAAGGCAGTAGTCAGTGTTGAACTGACAGAATGCCACTGCTGAGCCAAAACTCTAGTCCTGTATTTTGCAATAATTTGCAGGTTTGATCACGTCCTTAGATCAGCAAAAAAGCTGGAACATGACACAAGTCTGTATTTTATGGTATTCATTTATTTGGAGAGTGTGTGTGTTGTATTTCAGGAAATGTTTAGCATTCAGGTTCATAGAAGTGAATCTGATTTAGTTTACAGGAGACAGCCCAGTAGTCCATAGCAACCTGAAATTGATTTCTCCCCCTTGCCTACCGAAAGCTGTTCCCTCTTGAGCCATCTCTTTAGTTTAATACAGTGAACAGGATGTCCCTGCATATGGAAACTTCCTTTTTCTTTTTTTTTTTTTTTTTTTGTCCTAGCAAGTAGCCTAGGTGCAAAAACCTTCTTACTTGAGCAACAGCCCTGACTCCCTCTTATTATTGCTTGGCGTTAGTCCTTTCCATGCCATTTCCTTGTGCTCCGTTTCAAGCACTACATGCCATTATTAGTAATAGTTAATCACTGCTGCCACTGCAGGGAGACCTCCCCCTGTACAGTCTGGCTACCTTGGCTGCCTTTTTTCTCAGCAGTGGGTCCCTGTGTGACATGAAACCCTTTAGGCTGCCCTGCTCTCCCCAGCCTCTGCTGGGTTGGCCTAGTGTGGGTGGGCATGCTGAAAAATATATTCTTTGTGGTCTCCGTAGCATCAGTCCTGTACCTTTCTCCTTACTTGCAACAGTGCTCGCATGAGGTACAGTGATGGTGTGCATTGAGGAGCCAGGAGAGTGCTTCTGGCCGTGGTGATGCACTGCACAGCTTTTCATCCTAATGCCACTGTTAAGGGCATTGACATTGCTGTTTAAGCACCCTCTCTACCTTTTGCTAATTAGGGTGCTTGGGGCTGGGAGTGCTGGTGGCTCTGCCGGAGAGACCCAGCACAGGTGAGGTGGCTGCCTTTGGCATGATGCTGTTGATGAGTCGTTTGCAGGCCTGGAGATAAGTGTGTTGACCTTGCTGAATATTTTAAACTCAAAAAACATTATAATACTGCTACTTACGGTGTTCTCTGACTTGTACCGGTTTGGCTCTGTTTTCCCATGGCTAGGTCTCTGCTTCCATCAAAACCTCTTTTTGCAGGTCTTTCCGGTTAAAGCAGTGGACCTGTTTCAGAGGAGGCTTGGTTAGAAGGTGTTTGGAAAGAATGGGAAGAACTGCAGTACCACTTTGCTTCTGTTCATAAAAGAAGTCTTTGTCCTTGCTGTCTCTGTGGTGCCTGAGGACTCTAAGGAAGTGACTCGCCATGTCAGAGGAGTGCCAGGGATGAAGGGTTTAGGGCGTTTGTAGTTTTGCTGTCTGGAAGAGCATTTGACTCCATTTTGGAAGAGCAATAGCTTGTGTATCGTCAGCAGAGAACATAACCTTTTTCCGTAGTTACTTGCCCCAGGTTTTTGCACACCATTGAATGACAGCGCAGGCTTTCTCCTATGCTCTTAGTTCTTGCCCATTCATTACAGAGCCACTGAGGGAGATGTTGCTGGGCTTGGGCAAGGTGTGCCATGGTAGCAGTTGTCCCACCAGAACTTGTCCCCGTTGACTGTTCCACATGAAGAGAAGCAAGCTGCTGCTTGCATCTACATGTAGGCCATTAGCACAAATTGCACCATTCTGTGCTGTGGGATGTCTGCCTTTCCCTGGCTTGTTTTCTGAAAAGGAAAAAAAAAAGTGCATTAAGTCAGTATGGCAGAGGCTTCAGTGTGTGTTCACCTGCTGTTGCGCTGAGAGGAAACCACATCACGCAGTGTGCATGGTGGGTTTCTGGGTTTTGTTTTGTTTTTGTTTTTGTTTTTTTTGGGGGGGGGTGTTTTGTTTTTTTTTGGTTGGTTGGTTTTTTGTTTGTTTTCTTTTTTCCACATCAGTCAAAAATTGATTTAAGGTGCATTAAATAAACCATCATCTGAACATCTGGCTGGTACCCAAAAAGTTTAATCTCCAATTCAGTACTGCTTTTATTGTTGCATCCAACTGCTTCAAAGACAGTAATGAGTGCACCTCTAATGATGATTTTCAGATGCAGATGTAGCAAAGGCATCTACTACTTTCAGGTGCCAAAACTGAGACTTACAAGGCCTATGTTTTCATAACAGTTTGTGTTTTGTAGTGCTATATGTGGTTATAGTACAAGTTGCAATTAGAGATTGAACGGAGAATCTCAGTTCATTACAGCTAGTTCTTTTCTCTTCTGGACATGGTCTTTCTGTGTTTTTAGTTAGCCAGAAAAGGCACAGCAATAAATATATTGAAAAAATTGATGTATGTGACTTTCCTCTTATTGCTCATGAGGTTTATGGCAGAAGCAGGAACAGGACCTAATCTTTAATCAGAGTGACACTCAGCTACTAGACCATGAGCATCCTTTCTGGCCTCCTTACCATTGCCTGCCTTTCATGCTCCCCATCTTCTGAAAACTGAATGAAGCTGAGGAGGACATGGGCCCATATGGTTGCAAGGTCCTTTTCTGCATGACCTGGCTTTCATAAATCAGTAGCAAGTAGAGTAGATACTGCTCTAGGTCGCAGTGAGCTTCCATGTGTCCTTGTTTGCATTCCTTCCTTTAGCAGGAGCTCTGCCTGCTTGAGAGCTGGGTTTAGAGCTAGGTACAACCTGGCTGGGAGATGTAGAAGTTCTTTGACTGTTGGCTGTAACTTCTGACAGTGGGATATTTGTAAATTTAAATGCTTCCTCCCAGAAGTATCAAAGGGACTAAGGCCATTTTTCAGCATGAACATGAAAGGCTTTCACGCACTAGTGCAGTGAGGATTGTCATGGAGAACAAAGGGTTTTGCTAATCGCTTCTAATGCCTTTCAAGTTTATGCCTCATTTTTTCCCCTTTTTCAGGCAGCCTCCCAGAATGCTGAGACTTCAGTGACTGACTCACCAAATAATTAACAGGAGGAGGACTCCATCTCTGAAACTTTTGAACACATCTTTTAATTTTCTTAAACCAACCAGTACCCTGGCCAGGTTCCAGTTTGTGTAATTACTTTTGACCTAACTTAATCCCTTGGCAGTTTCAGTTGCATGTGGTAGTTGTCTTGGCTCCCTGTTCTGGGCTGCCATTCAATGCTACTCCATGCTTTTCAACAGCTGTCTTAATTCAGATAGAAAAAACGGGTGTGTTTTCTTGGTGGAAGCACTCCTTGTATCTCTATCCCTTGCTAAACATCCTTATCTCTCTAGTATTTTAAGAGGTAGCATGTCTGATGCTGCAAATAATCTTGCAGAAGTCCTTGGAGCTACTTTCACTCTCCAGGATGGGCATACATTTGAACTTTTTTATTAGTTAGCCATCATACATTTTGAGATTACTTTTAAGTCTTAATCTTCAGTAACAGGCATTTATTGCTCAGTCTCCTCAGCTATTGTGTGCTGCTGTAGGGACATTATTGGTGCAGGTATTCCTCATTAGCCTTTAAACAGCACTTCTGTTATCAAATCTGTTGTAAATAGGAGCATGTCACCTTCCTGTGCTGACAGCAGCTGGGCTGGCTGTGTTAGCATTGGTAAAAGTGTAAAAGACCAAGGAAAGCAAAAGCCCAGGGCACGTGAGGATTACAAAGTTTAAAAAACAGCAAAAGAGAAGACCCTGAGTTGTTGCATTGGTGTAGCCTTAGATGTGCAACACGCGTCTTGTTTTCATAGCAGGTGGCGAGTGTTTCTTGGCTTCAATCCTTGGAAAAGGCATATTTGTAACAAAGCCACTTGATGCTTTGGGGCTAGCAGCAGCCTCTGCCAAGGAGAGATAGGAATTTAGAGGATATGGTGATGCAAAAGGTGATCTACTGGTGAAAGATGCTGTTGTGGCAAAATGCGTGTTACCATCTAGTTCTGTTTTTCTGAGAGCCTCCAAAAGTAGGATGGCAAATGTGTTATTGCTTTTCTTCCGTGTTGCTTGTTCTCTCTCATGAAATTTGGGTATGTTTATTGCTTAGAGCTCTTCTCTGTGTTTCCAAACACTGTTTGTGTAAATCCTTTCTTTATTCTTTCCCCACTATCACCAAACCCTTGGTGATACCCTTGGTTTTGGGAGAAAGAGTTCTTTTTGATGGATAAAACATCCTGAAGACCAGGAGGTAAAGGCCTGTGTTGTGAACACAAAGGTTACTCAGTCTTTCATCAGACTGACATTTCTCCTCTGGGTCTATCCTATAATTACACACACACAAATTTCACAGTAGACTAGAAGTCTTGCCTCTGTTAGTTTCAGTGACACTGTAAATGAAGTCATCAGTAGCAACATTAAGATTTGTCCTCTGTCTCAGTCAATAAGCTTTGGAGCCAGGGCCATCTGATTTTGATATGTGCTGGGTATTTCTTATAACTTGGCAGAACATTCTTTGAAGTTAGTGAGCACCTTGATTCATAAAACACAGATTTATCAAACCCTTATGGTGGTTGTCAAAGAGATTGTGGCCAAGTTTGAGTGGTGGTGCATAATGTGTCTTACAGTCATTCATGTTACTTTTGAAGATCTGTTTAAATGTTAAATAATGGTGTGGAAGAAATTGCACTTCAGTGTTGTTGGGGTTTCTTTACTACTGGATCCTCTGCTTACCATCCTAAAGACAAATCTTCTTCTTGTTTCAGAGTACTTTATTACTGGGTGTGCCTGAATGCATCAGCCTTTGGATGTGAACGTCTTTTCTTGAAACAGCCTTGTGATATCCTAACTGCCTGTTCTGTCAGGGTAAGAAAAGAAATACACATGCAGAGAGACAAGATTAAGAACATGCTTTGAGCAGAAGCAGCATGGCATAGAGAGAGGAAACCACACTGGTGCCTCAGCTTGTAAATTTTGGAAATAGTGAGCTTGTCATGGAGAGAGGGAATAAACTGTAAATCTGCCCACTCTAAATAAGACAAATTATGAGCTTAAGTTTGAGGAAGAAAAACTTAGAAGAGACATTAGTAAATTAAATTCTGCATTAAAAATAGCTGAGCATTATTAAAAATAGTGGATTGCCTGAAGATCTTAGGCAGTTTCAGTCATTGGAAAGGTTTATAAACAAGATGGAAAAACTCCAGCAGACATGCTTTTAGGAGAACCAATCCCTCAGTGTGGCAAAGGACTCGATGACTTCTGGAGAGTCCTCCTTAACTCATCAGTGGTTAGAAATGGGAGCACATGAAATTCTTATCTCAACCTTCTTCAAAACTGATAAGGTAAAAGGTAAAGCTCAGTGTGTTTGTGCAGAAGGAGCTGCCTGGTCTGATGATGGCCTGATGCAACAGCAGTTAATGTTGGGGTTTAGTGTCTTTATTACCTGAAAGGTGATGTTCTCTGGAGGGAAGTGTAAGCTCATAGAAGAGGAGGTTAATTCACAGCTGCTGGCATGTAACTGTATTGGGTTTACATGGCAAGGTTTTGGTAGCAGGGGCACTACAGGGCCTCTTCTCACAGCTTGTGTGAGAAGCTGCTGGAAGTTTCCTCTGTGTCTGATGGATCCAGTGTCAGCTTGCTCCAAGATGGCCCTGCTGCTGGCCAAGACTGAGCCCATCAGTGATGGTGGCAGTGCTTCTGGAATAATATCTTTAAGAAGGGGGAAAAAGTTACAGTGTGGGAGTAATTACAGCTGGAGGGATGAGAGAAACCAAGGTGAGGGAAGGAGGAAGGGATGTACTCCAAGTGCCAGAGCAGAGATTCCTCTGAAGCCCATGCTGAGGCAGGCTGTGCCCCTGCAGCCCATGAAGGTCCACAGTGGAGCAGATATCCACCTGCAGATGATGGAGGACCCCAGGATGGTGCAGGGGGATGCCTGAAGGAGGCTGTGACCCTGTGGGAAACCTGTGCTGGACCAGGGTCCTGGCAGGACCTGTGGCCCCATTGAGAGAGGAGCCCACACTGGAGCAGGTTGTAAAGAACTACAGCCCATGGGAAGGACTCATATTGGAGAAGCTTGTAAAGAGCTGTCTGCTATGGGAGAGGCCCCCCTCTGTGTAGGGGAAGAGTGTGAGGAGTCCAACCCTGAGGAGGAAGGAGCGGCAGTGACAATATGCAATGAGCTGATTGCAACCATCATTCCCTGTCCTCCTGTGCTTCTGATGGGGAGGAGGCAGAGAACATCAGGTGTAAAGCTGAGCCTTGGAAGAAGGGATGGTTGGATGGATGGAAGGTGTTTTTCAGATTTGGTTTTATTTCTCATTATCCTACTCTGATTTGATTGGTAATAAACTGATTTGCCCAAGTTGAGTCTGTTTTGCCCATGACAGTAATTGCTGAGTGATCTCTCCCTGTCCTTATGTCAACCTATGAGCCTTTTGTTATATTTTCTCTCCCCTGTCTAGCTGAGGAGGGGAGTGATAGAGCAACTTTGGTGAGCACCTGGCGTTTAGCCGGGGTCAGCCCACCACAGTAATGTAAACTTGTGATAAAAGCAGGAGGTTGTATCAGTTCTGGATCCTTTGTAACAAGTTCCTGGGAGTTTTTGTCTTTTCTGTGGTTCATGTAAGGGCTTTACTGTTACTCTCAGGTGGGTAACTCCATCTACTTTATTATGACATGAGAACATAGTGCTACTGATACAGGTGTCCTGACCAAAATGCAGATAACATGGAACACAGAAAAGAAGCAAATGATTATTTTTCCTCTCTGTTTCCTGGGGGCAGTAAAATGGAAGTTCTGTTTTTCTTTTTTTTTTCTTTTTTTTTCTTCTTTTTCTTTTTTCTGTTCCTGCTCTCCATTGTGTTTCTTTGTCCTGTCTTGACAGCAAACACAGCAGGATTTTTCTGTGTTCAAAAATGCTGTCTCACCAGATGGGTCTTGAAATTATGTCCTGAAGATGTCTGCTCATTTATTTCCCTTGCTTCTCCCTCACTCTCCTGGGTGCTGCAGATGACAAACCTATCTTGGGCTCAGGCAGCTTCTGAGCCGTCATCATGAGAGAAACAGGGTTCAGATGCTTCATCTTCTGTGGTCCAACTAAGAAGGATAGTGAGACACCTGCAATTCAATGGGAAGTTCTTCAACCTCCTGTTGGACTTTGAGATTCGTTTGGTTTCCCTAATATTTACCTTTCATCCTTAATGTCAGCAGATATTGGTGTCTCCCCTGGAGTTATGCTAGTGTCTTCTTGTTCACTGTCATCTTCTGTTTAGCAGAGATAAACTGTTGTGTCCCAGGGGTACAAGAACATGGAAGAAACTTTCAAATAGCTTTAGGAAATGCAGATGGTGTCAAGAGAGAATTAAGGGGATGCCTTTTTGAAGTCACTTTTGTACATGTTTATGTGTGGTTTTCTTTCCTGCAAGTATCTGCTCAAATCTTGAAAGCAGAATATGTTCATGGAAAGATACAATTTACTGTGTGCCCCCGATCTTTTGATCTCAATCAATCAAATAAACCCAAAACCTTGCAGTTCACCTCGTTGCAAGGACGGTTAATAAGTCGAGGTATAGTGCCAATGGCAGTGATGGTTTTCCAGCCTTGTGCTTTTTTTACTGTTATTTTTCATGATTCTGACCTTTTGGACTGGTCAGGGTAAGATTGTTTCCAAAGAATACCCATAAATAACTTGTCGGTATAAACATTCAAGCATTGCTATTTAGCAAAAGAAAACCATATGCCAAAGGTCAATTTAGATTTCCCTGCAGGATTGAAAATAATGACAAGAATTACTTAACATGGCAGAGATGAGTCCTGCCACCTTCATGAGAGTTGCTGGCTGCACCTGAAGATTTGGCATCTGGCATCTTGTGCTGGAACTAACTTGGAGTCCCTGGTGCATCTGCTGGCTCTCTGAGGTGCAAGCTCAGCCAATTGGCAGTATTCTTTGTGTCCTGCAAAGCAGTCCTGTTTCCATCCTTGCACTCTGAGAGTAAGCCAGCATGCATTGGGACACATTACTTAAGAAAGTCCTACTGCATCATGGTTCATTGTGAGCAGTACCCTTGGGTTGCTTGTTGTGATCTTATAGGTGCTTTGAGAATCCCACATTTATGGCTCAGTTTTCCGTGCTGTGATTGTTCTTCGAAACAGTTCCTAGATGTCTCCCACCTAATGTTTGCCACCAAGGAAGCTTGCAGCATCCAATGTGGCAAGAATCTTCCTTGTCTGTGAAAGTATAATGCTGATTATCGATGTTTCTACTATCCTGTCAGCAGAATTGACTTCTGTGGGTGAGGGCAGCATGAGGAGTGAAGCTGGGTGCCAATAGCTGCTCTTTAAGCATTAATCTACAATGTTTTAAACCCACATCAGTCTTGTTTAGTAATACAATTGGTAGAATTGTAGAATTTCTACAAATTGGTAAAAATGTGTAGAAAAACACATCTTGTGTAGAAATGGTCTTTCTGCAGTGCCTGGTCATGGATGTAAATGTAGTTTGTCACGAGCATGTGGCTCTTCTGAGTTTTGGGGCTTTTCTTTTCCTCCTTTCATAGATGACAAAGTAAAGGTGTTGAAGACCACTTGCTTTACCCACAGGAAAGTGCATAGCAGTGGAGCCCTGAGGTTAGGTCTGAGACCCATAGGTTTGGCAAAAAAAATCCCTAAAACCTAAATGTGGTGAAAGGTGGCTTGTTTCCTGGAAAAAAAAAAAAAAATAAAAAAAAATTATCAATTGAGAAAGCAGAGTGGGACTGGGTGGTGGAATAACAGTGCAAAATGCAATGTGACTTGTGGAAAGTTGTGCAGCACCTCAGTGACTGATCCACTGCAACAGCCCAGCGGCTCCGAACCCAACCCTGCAGTGCTGTAACTTGCAGCGAAACAGATGGATCTGGTTATTTGTTAGCATCAGCCAAAAACTTTCAAAGTAAAATAAATTAGTGTTTGGTCCCATCTTGAAGTCTAAAAGCCATTTCTCCAGCACCTGTGAATAACTTAAGTCTATGCTGGTTGTACTGGCTTGCATGTAAAAAAGAAAAAAGGTGGCTGAGGGTGGCACAGCAGTGCCTTCACTGTGTGCTGTTGCACCCTGTCACGCCTAGTGGCCCTGCCATGGGTTGGGGAGAGGTGTCCCCATCTCTATGGATAGCTGCCATCCTTGAGATGCCAAGGGGAAAAGCCCTCCAATATGCAGGAATTTTTGCATGGCCCAGATGCTGATGTTCGTTTTTCTTATTCCAAAAGGGAATGGCAATTAGCAGCAGGGGTAATCGCCACCTTGAATTAAATTGTATGGAGGCATGAAAAATAGCAGGGTATATTTCGAAATATCTATTGCATATATATATTCCTCTTAAGAAACATGTTGGAGATGCCATATCCATAAATACTAATAAGGCTGTTTGATTCCAATTTTCAGGTAAGATTAACATTTTATTGAGTATTATATCTGTCACATTCAATGCTTTAGTGTACCATCCTCTCAGGCTTATTAGCATAATTGCAGTGCTTAAGCAACAATAAAAAATTCAACAGTAAAATAGCAGTTAGCGCAGGCAATTTGTTATCAAAAGCTTTTACTTAAGGACAGCTTTTGAGCATATTTATTAGCAAGTTAGGACTATACATTATTTTTATTTAGAAAAACAAGACTGAAATGTTGTAGCTTTTTTTTTTTTTTGTCTTGTTTTAATGGCTAAAGCAGAAGGCCTGAAAATTGGTCACAGCCTTTTTCTGTTTCTTAAAATCACTCAGCAAATTCACTCGGAGTGGGAAGATGAGATAATGAAACATCTCCGGTCTGGAGCAGGGTTGTGACCATAATAACTCAGCAGAGCAATTTTGATAAGTCCTGATGCTGT